GCCTTCCAGTTATTGTATCAGCGAAATATCCTCTATCTACAAGATTGTAGAACAGATGGAGCAATTGCTACACATCTTTTAAATCTTACAAATAATTGATACACCAAATGGAAAAATAAAACTCATGCAGAGCGCCAGAATAATTTAAATTTAAATTAACAAATTTTGGTGCTACATAATAATCAACAAAATCGAAAAAATATGGCAGGAATACCACAACCATTTTTTGACTGGGGTGACGATATCCCAGATTTTCTTGCGAAGCTAAGATTATATTTGCAAAACCAAGGCGTAAATCCAGCAGATAATGCGGGAGGTCCACCAACAGGAAGAGAAGTAGCTATGGGATATTTAAGAGGCTGTATGAGAAGAAAAACTTTAGAATAGTTCGATGAAGAAATTACTACAAAGCAAAATTGAGAATTAGCAAACTTACTTGATAATATGGGGCAAGCTAACATAGTAGCTATAAATGGACGTACAGCTATTCAGATAGGAGCTAATGGAATAAACGAGGCTCTTAATCAGCCAGAAAATGCAATAATTAAGTTAAGAGCTGTAGAAGGTCCTTGGGATGAAGACTGGCATATAGTGGAAGGCCGACCTACTAATAATGCTCCAAATGCTCCAATGCTAATACTGGTAATATCATAGTTGTACCTGGAATTCATTTTGGTCAGGCCATATGGTGGTTAAAAACTCATTTTCCTACAGTAGAAAAGGAGCTTTGGGATATGATATATGGAACAATCGGAAAGGGGAATATAACAATAGATGAATTATATAGAAAAATATTACGAATAGGTAGATGAGCTAACTATAGGCCCGAAGAATTACGTAGAAAGTTCTTAGATGCTCTTCCACTTCCATGGCTTGAAAAAGCCGAGGATATCGGCAAACATTTGCCATTGGATGAATTAGCTAAAAAGCTTTATGAAATAGAATTACACCGAATAGCTAGACATAAAAGAGATAGAATACTCGATCTATTAGTTTCTCAGCGAGCATCTCGAGAAATATATGAACCCTTACCTGTTTTAGCTCTTCAACAGCAAGGAATTTCTTTAGAAAATATGCAAAAAGCAATCCAAAACGCCCTGGCACAGCAAAAAACTGAATACCAGTCTTTATTAGAAAAACAAAAAGCCAATTTCCAATCACAAATGGCCCAGCAAGTGCAAGTATCTGCACCACAAACAGTAGAACCTGTTAGACAGCCAAAAGGTTTTCTATCATCATTGCAATCAGAAGAAGATCTCAAAAATTATTACATAACCAAATATTTAAAAGATATGGGCATATTTAGTCAAAAAGAATTAGACACAGACTATCCTATAAAACCTTTTCAAAGACCTCGCCCTCAACAAAACCAATCTATGAGAATGGATAGAATAGAATCAAAAATAGATGAAATCAGTCAAATGATATCTCAATTCGAGAGGATGATGGTCGATAATCAATCCAAAAAACCTGTAGCTAAATCAAATTTAACATATCGATACTTTCCTCCTCTAATACCTTCCCAATCCCAATATGCATCTCCTGATTTGGATGATAATGAGGATGAAGAAGGTGGATATAATGAGGAAGAGAATAGATGGCATGCTCCATCTCAGTTAGAAAAAAAAAACAGGTACCGGTAAATGAAAAAATACTTCCAGAACTTAGTCAGCCTGAAACATACAATGAACTATTACCAAAGCTTTTACCGGCAATGCGAAAAATGTGTCAGTCTCATATAGTCTGGGAAAAAGAATCAAAATCAGATGAGTGGTTTTCATTATTACAATACTTGTATTGTAATATAAATGATCTATTGATCACTAATTCTTTTTTAGATAGCACAAGTGAATTCAGAGGAGTGAATGATGCAACAATTAATGCCCTGGGGTGGAAAGCTGACAAGCCATCTAACTTTGCTATAAAGAGTAATTCCAAACATATAACCAAATTATTAGGATGGTATACAGATGTGCCAATTAGTGTAAAGGACAAAGATGGAAAGATTGTTACAGCTATTGAAAATTTTGCTTATATTAATAATGGGAAACCCAAACCAATGTTATGTTTAGGTATGACATGGATTCGAAAAGTTCAAGATGTTCTTGATCCAAATAAAAATCAATTCCGAATGAAGTTACATGGGAAGACTTACATTATCCCAACTTTTAGCAAGACTCCAGAAATAAATGATCCGCCAAAAGAAGAGCAGGACCAAGTATCTACCGATTTCTCTAGCCCGATTAGTGAAGACTTAAAAAAAAATGTGAAGATCTTGAAAAGCGTCTCTTGAAAACTGAGAAATGGCTTGACTTGGCATTAAGGACTGGAAAGTTTTTTGCTGATACATGTGAATCTTTATATAGAAAAGATATCAAAAGTACCAACTGAGCTTTTAAGCTTTTCACCGCGATTGACTAAGTTTTCAAGAAGAGATTCTAACCTTTTTTCTTGGCAAATTATTAGAGAGCACGTCATCTTTGTTCTTATTTTTTTCTTGTTTTATTTCTAATTCAAGAGAGAACTTCTTTTTTTGACCATTCTTTTTTGGAATCTTCATAGTCAGAGTGGACGTAGATGGTACTGGTGGTACCACTTCAAGATTCTGTTTTGACTTATCAGTCTTGAAATTTTCATCCAAAACAGGCTGAGATAGAATGGCCCCTTGCTGGAGGCATTCTTTATTATTTTATATTTTATAAACACGTTTAGGTCCGATATGGAATTTATCAGCCATTTTTTTTGATGCATTGGGTATCCTATCTATGGATTCTCTAATTTCTTTGACAGCATCATCCGATAATAGGGTTGCCTTAGCATCATAATATATATTATAGATATGGGCTACCATCTTCACTAGATTATTATACTAGAAAAAAAATATTAATGCTTTTCAATAAAATATCAATGCATATCAATGCATGCGTATCAATACTCTTCAATAAGCATTAATATTTTTCAGTGTGTATTGATACTTTTCAATATATATTGATATATTTCAATGCCCACCAATGCATATTAATAAGCTTCAATGCTCACCAATGTGTATCAATATAGTAATATCTATAAAAAATATCTTGCTTCCAATGCCAAAAATTCTAGCGGTATCTATCTAATTTTTTTTGCCTAAAGAAAAAAAAAAATACCAATAAAATATACCAGATACATACTTTAAAAGATCTGGATAATGGTAATAAACTTGGAGATGCTCCAGCTAATTATTATCCTCCTAGCCGAACAGAACTTGAAGAGCAACTTTCTTGTGCAAAAAAAGATCGTGAAGTTGCTATATATTGGGAAAATCAGATTGCAGATAATTACGATATCTTAGATAGAGAAAAAAGACATATACAGGATTTTCTAAATCAATCAAAAAAAGAAAATAAGTACATACAGGATAACCTTGATAAATCCAAAAAAGAAAATAAGCGTATACAGGATGATCTTGATAAATCCAAAAAAGATAATGAGAAGCTCTCTGATCATGTTCACCAGCTTGGAGAAGAAACAATGCAGTTACAATTAGAAATAGATAACTCCAAGCTTGGGGATGAAATAAGACATTTACATTTAGAGATAAATGACCTTAAGCTTCAGATCACTTGCAAGGATATTTCTTTTGCAGATGCCGAAAGCAAATTTTCTATAAAATTGGAGGAGATGCAAGCCCTCCAATCCAAGATGGAGGAAGAGATACAGGCTCTCCAATCAAGAGTAAAAGAATTGGAGCAAGATCTTTCTTTAGCACAGAATGAGTTATCAGAAATAGAATCTCTTGAGCGTGAATTCGAACAAGAAAAGATATTACTATCTGCTGAAAACACTACCCTAAATTATAAAAAAATGGAGTTAGAAGAAACTCTGTCTAAAGAAAGAAATAAATTAATGCAGATAAAGGATAATTTAGCTTCAGCACAAAAGGCATTATTAGAGAAAGATTCCCTTCTTCAAGAAGCTAATGCTCATTTAGCAGAGCAGATTTCGAAAGTATCCGGTGAGTCGAAGTATAATGAAGTGATTGGAGGTGTTAGCAGACTAGAAAAAGATAACAGTATCACTAATCCTGAAACAACCTTACTATCACCCAATTCCTTCTTTCAGCAGAATGCAATCTTTATCATAATAATGATATTACTAATCATATACTTCCTATGGTGCATATCCTTTTATATATATTTTTTTATTTCACTCCTCAATAAAGAAAAAATATTCCGAATTATAAAATACCCTTAGATAGTTATGGATTCCCAATCTGTCATACAAAAGAACCAAAAAAAAGAACTACTACCTATGAAACTCTATCTTATGGATATGGATGAGGCTACAAAGCATAAATCATCCCGAAATATTGGACATCCAGCAATGTCATGGCCTTTCAGCATGATAGTCAGCGGAAGAAGTGGTACAGGTAAGACCAATTTACTAGCAAACCTTGTTCTTGGAGATAAATGTGAGCATATATATAAAAGACAAAAAGGAGGATCCAGATATATTAGATGTGATAATTTGATAGTTTGCGGTTACTATCCTGATAAGCCGAAATAGGCATTCGTTAGATATATATATGGAATAATAGCAAGTAATCCCAAAGCGCCCTATTATAAGAACATTAGATTCAGCTACATATCACCAGAACAAATTCCTAGTGTGAAATCATTTTCACCTGAGAGGAGCACCGTAATTATTTTTGAGAATGTATGTGTTGCTCCCGAGTCTATCCAAAATCGAATTATTCCATTTTTTACACATGGGCAACATCGAAATATTTCTCCATGCTATATTACTCAGAAATATCATAATGTACCAATTATTATTCGTAAGAATATCTCCCTTCTAGTAATATATAATAGGGGAAGCAGTTATCAAGACGTGTCCAAGATAGCTGGCCGATATACTGATGATGTAAAGGGTGCATCTATGGTTATTAATAGCTACCTTCGTAAAGGTGAGTTTGTTGTATTTGATCTTAGTAGGCCGGAGGATGATTCTCTAGCAATTCGGCTAAGATTCGATACACCATTGAATCTGCAGAAGGAAATAAAGGCAAGGCAGAGGCACAAGGAAAAAAGTGCCACAGCTAATGAATAGAATTAGTCAAATTGTAGATTCCCTATTTTCTTATAAATTCAAAAATAGAAAAAAAAAAGTAATCAGAAAATTTTTTAGATAAAATTTCACAAAACTCTTCACTCTGAAAAAATTTATTTTTGAGGAGAGATGATTTGTTTGTTTACAAACTTCCAAAGTGCTTAATTATATCTTTTTTCTCGCAAGCTCGAAAAAAGATCTGAGTTACTGATATATCTGGCTTCGAGTGATTTAATCACGAGAAGGCGAGATTTTTATTTTACATCGATGGTAGACAACTATAAAAAAATAAATTATTATAATAAATACGTAATATCTATTTTGATATTGAATTCATGCTCCGGAAAATTCAGCGCACATACTCACAATTATTGTTCGAATCTGAGAAATCTATGTTAATTTCTTCTCCTAGGATATAAAGATATTTAGTTTCGAAATAGTTGATTTTTAGTGAATCACATGGATATGATTTGCCTACCATTTTACAAATGTATCGCCCATATTCTGAAATTCTAACAAAGTTTTCATTGCCATTGTTGGGGTATTTGACAATATGGTAATATTCGGGATTCGATAGCCACTTTAACATATAAGTCCATTCTGAATATTTAACGATTCTATAGCCTTGCCGATATAATTCTATAAAAGCAACTATATATGATACAAGACATAATCGATTATTTAGTTGTTCTTTTTTTCTTTCTATCCAGTTATCGGGAAGATAATATTCTTTATACTCTCCTGGTAATGGATAATTATATCCTTTATTTATCATAGCAATAATTTTAGCACTACGTAAATTATGTTGTTGACGAGTATAAGGATTTTTTATTTTTCGAAGAATGACATTTAAAAATTTCTTATCGTTGGGAATACCATCATTCCTCACCATATTCCAAATTCGTTTCGGCCATGTTTCAGGTCTCAACTTGTAATCTCTCCAAGCCCATTGGATAATTTTTGCACTATTAAATAAGGAATAAGCAATTTCTTCTCTAAATCTATTGTCCGTATTATATACATGATAACTACGCTGTGGATATACAGAATAATTTATAAAAATCTCATTAACCTCATCAGAACTAAGTAATAATACACTTCTTCCTCCTTTTTTCTAAACAAGATTAGAATATGCAAAATGCCTTTTAGCTGTTTTAGCAATGAATTTATTCAGGTGATGATTGGCATATTCGATAGTATTTTCACAGATAAATACCAAGGTGTCGCATACAGTGCAATAAATATAAAATGAATACTTCTCAACCGTAAATCCCCCGTCTCTAGATCTTTCAGTCAAATAGATAAATCCATTCTTGGAGAAGTATTTTGGGTTATTTTCTAGAAGTGTTCTAAATGGATAATGAATACGCAAACACCACATTTCAGACGTTTCATTACTATACCTATATTGCAGATTGATTAATGCCTGTGATATGGTAGGATTCAAACCATTATAGTAGTTAGTTTTAACCATTTTGCAGGTATAGTGATAATACGTATATGTAGCAATTTCACTGATTTTATCGATTTATAGCAATTTCAATGACTTATAATAGTTTGTAACAAGTATATAATAATAAAATATCAGATTCATTTTTATTCGAAACTGAAAATATGTTGTGTATATATATTTACAAAGAAGAGAAGGAAGCATATACTTCGTAGATTTTTTTTTCACATTGACACTTTTCAACCTGTGTCGGAATTAGATAAAAAATATTAATATAAAAAATATATCACTCTGATATAGCATTAGGAAAATGGTGGACAACTACCTATGCCTGTATCAAAAATTAATTTTATTTATGTTTGTATATATTTTTTTTTCTGGTGGGTATATTCAATCACTCTCTGCAGTGTGGTTCGGTTGTTTAGGAAGTTTGCATCACCTTCCTCCTCACACATGCCCCACATCAAGGATGACGATCACGCTTTTTTTCTCGCAAGCTTGAAAAAAAGATATATCTGAATTACCAATATATCTGGCTTCGAGTGATTTAATCATAAGAAGGCGAGATTTTGAGGTGAATATATTCAAACTATTTCTTATCTTGTAGTTCGGTGGACTAACCACGGGAAGCTCATTCGGTCTTCCTCTCCTTACAACAGGACAATGATAGTTGATGATCACGCCCTTAAAGCAGTGTTTTTATAAAAGTAGAATAAAAAAATAAATTTTAGGGAGGAAATAGTCGGATCCTAGGCCTACCTCGAAAGGTTATGACTGCACCTAAAAAGACTATGTTATTAAAGGATAACTAGCATATTTTTGCGGAATAGACTATCACTTTTGCCAAAGTACTGGGCCACCAAATGGTAATTACGAGCATGTTTGATCTCACAATATACATAGTCAGAGGCCCTATCGTCCAACCGTAGAAACGAAATTTTTTGCATGACTAAGTATACCCGCACAAATAGTTCCGGCAATCATCTTATCAACACAAAAACAACCTAGTATGAGAAGGTGAAATATCGGTAAAAAAAATCAAAAATTGAAAGATTTATATAAAAGGGATACTATTGTCTTATACAATAATTAACCAGGGCGCATTGTTTACTAAATTCGGCATCACAATTATTGGACACGGGGTACGGTAATAATTTTACACGCTATATATCGATATTTAAGCCCGATTTACAAATTTAGAATAACCGTACCGTTATACACTTCGTTATTTATACATTATACCGGAAATATCGCATGTTGATCAAACATCTAGCATCGCCCTGTAAATACATAAATACATAAACACAGAAATAAGTACCTGTAAACATAAATGTGCGTTAGTTTAACACAACCACGTAACGGTAATTTAATTTTTATCGTTGATAGCCATTACATGCATGAATAATCTCATGGCCGTCAAATCATGGGACTTATCTCGGCACCGATCCACGCTGAAATGAATCGGGTATACGAAAATTCATACAATTGTTCCGGAAAAAATAAAGTTTTAACGGCCATGGGTCCGTATACATGTTTTTAGTCGAGGTTGAAATAATGAAATTCGGGGTACGATAGCTAATAAATTAGCTATTTTTTATTATTATTATAAGTATGTCTCAA